TCCTATTTTTGCCTTGTATCCGTGCAATGTCACCTTTTCTCTCCTGGCTTCCAGCTCTGTACCAGCTTGCCAGCGTGTGCAGCGGGATGTAGTTGGCCTCAAACTCGCAGTTGGGATTGAGGAGGAGGCCCCTGAGGTGGCCCCTCAGCCAGGGCTCGCGGCCCTTGAAAGGACCCAGGAAGAGCCTGCGGGAGTCGTAGTCGTTGGCGTGCAGGTTGTCCCAGATGAGCGGCGGGCGCTGCAGTACCGACTCCACCTCGGCCAGGCGGTCCACGGATAGTTTCCTCGAAATGACCTTGTTCCCTGTAAACCACATACAATGTGATGTTAAATTGGACCGGCAAATTGGTGCTGTGGTTAAATCCGGCTTCTTTCATCTTAGGCAGCTGGCTAAAGTAAAGCCTTTCTTTTCTCAAAAGCATTTTGGAACAGTCATTCATGCCTTCGTCACATCTCACCTGGATGACTGCAATGCACTTTATGCTCCACTAAGCGCCTCCAGTTGGGCCAAAATGCTGCTGCTCGCCTCTTGGCCGGTACTCGTAAGAGGGAGCATAGAACTCTGACTTCATCAGTGGCTCCCTATACATTCTTTTTAAGATTCTATTATTTTTCAAATCTTAACCACAATACCTCTCTGAGCTCCTCCGCCCCCACACACCTGCCAGGTGTCTCAGATCTGCGGACCAGACACTATTCGAGGTACCGAGAACTAAGTCGAGGCTCAGAGAGGATCGAGCTTTTTCTGTTGCTGGTCTTTCTTTGGAATGAACCCCCGCTGAACGTTTTAAACCATCTCAGGTTTAAAAAAATGTACCAGGAATTACACTACGCTACATAATCCGTTCAATGCCAATAACTGTGTCAAACTAACGAATGAAGAAACATAGACTCCAAAGACAATATCATTCCTGACGACATTCAACACAAGGACTTAAACGTAGCCTGACAATTACTAACACTGAGAACACCACGAAGACATCAACCTTGACGGATTGGCGAAATATGGTACAACAGTTATGACACTGTTCAAAATCGTCTAAACTGACATCTGTTGCTTTTGAACCACCCTGTAGCTGTCTTAAAAAGAGTCCCCCAAAAATCTGCGCCTCACCTGTCCATATGACTGTGATGTCGGGAAGCAAGTCTTCGCCAACAGTCTGCAGGTAAGGAGACTTCTGCACGCTGGGTGAACACAGAGAACCGCAGTACTCTGCAAGGACGAGAGAGCAAGTTAATTTCGCTCCACGAGTCAATCTTTGACCGAATTGCGCACCGTGCGTACCCGTTGGGCAGAACAGGAAGACGGGTGGCTCCCCCAAGAAGCGATACATCTCATTGGTTACGGTGACCTGAGCGTGTGCGAATGAAGAGAAGGCCTCGCTGTCAGCCTGACATAAGGAGTGATCGATGTCGTCAAAGAGGATGGCAAACGCCTGGCAGCCGAGGTCGGACACCTGCACGCATCCGCGACGCCACAAGTTGACCGAGTCAAGTGAAGCGTTGTCAAATCTCAAGTGTTCCCTACTTGTCTCAGCTTGCGTTTCAGGAGAGTGAGGTCACAGGGGGACGAGAAGACGATGTCCTGACCGGGGGAGAGGGCGTAAACGAACCGCAGGCCTCTGGATTGGGCCTCCTTGATGAGCGTGCGCAATTGCCCTGCGAGGATCGCGTCGGAACATGAAGAAGCAGCAGCTCGACTCGTCACGCGTGGAAAGGAGGTCGTTACCTTCCTCCTCGGGTGAATAGACTTCTCTCCATAACAGCCTGTGCTTCAGGTCATCTTTTGGGCCGTACAGGTAAGTGTTCAAACCCCAGTTTTGCATCCTAGTACAGAAAAAGCGAGGGGATTTTGACCAGCTGGCGCCAAAATATTCAGTGGAACGTGCACAGGTATAGACTTGTACGCTTGTGTGTTCAGAATGATCTCAGTAACTGAGAAGTCATTGTTTATCATACCCATCCATAGACAGTGTTTCATATTCTACTTCTATCGTTATCACTGATCGGCTAGCCAATTCGAGTGATCAATTGTCACTGACGGCTGACAACATTTTGCATATCGATGGCCAATTCATTCAAATCACAGACGCACAAATCCTTGGATCCTTCACAATTCTAAATGTTTTTCTGAGACGTGTTCCTGGTTGACATATGAATGTGTTGGGTAAGATTGGCATATGTGTGCATTTTTTTTCATGAAACCGCGACTGTGGTCGCTATGACAAAAAAAAGGACTTTTCAGCCATGTTGGTTTCTTGCAAAGGTTTGACAGCAATGATTTTGATGGAGACTGGCTATAAGAGACGAATCTTTCTTTCTAAAAAAACAGATTCTTTGCGAGTATGTCTTCTGATCGACTGTAACCGTTTTCTTTGAGGATACAATTGATGTCAAGAGAAATGAAATGTGTATCAAGACTTATAATACAACTGCATCCACGTCAAAACGGAGGTCTAAGGTCTGCAAAATTTTGCCGAGGTGTGGGATGGCCCCCTCTGGCCACCACGTAGCTCTGCCACTGAATGTGAGCCAATCAAAGATCTGTATCGTTTGCAGTATTGCGATGGTCTTGACACTGCGATAATACCGGTGTCAGGGAGCAGTGGCGCTGTATTGATTTTGCGGCTAATTTACCGGAAATGACCTCCTGAATTATGAATAGATTGGTACTATTCCATGGAAAACACCTCATACAAACACATCGACATGTTTATTTGTGTTGTTGGCGGCTCTCACTTCCTGAACAGACGCTGTGTATTGTGCGCGCCCAACTACCATCTCCGCTCTGTCCACACTGTGCCAAACTTACGCAACCTTGACTACCGCCTCCATTTGAGCCTAAAGAATTGGATCTATAAATAACCGCAGAGCAGCCCACACTCCACGCTCGGCTGCCGCTACGGAACGGAAGGCTTTCCAAGTTTGTGTCCACACACCAACTAAACGCACATGAATGTAGCAACTGCCGTGATGATGCACACACGACGGTGGCACGCTTACCACTGGAAGAGAATTCTCCTCTGGTCCATAGACCACGGCCTCCCATAGAAACCTATAGAAGGAAGATCATATATTTATGAGTACATACAGTATATATTAGGGATGTTCAATAGCACTTCTTGCAGCTCTATTTACCAGTATGAGCATCATATCACTCAATGTCACTTTTTTTTTTTTGCCCTAAGTATCGCTGTCTGGTATCGGTAACCTCCATAACACTCGATACCTGAACTCTTAGTGCACTATTGATGTGAAATGTTTTTCTTTGGGAATGGTCAGAGAAGTCTTTGCCAGGTCTTATTTGATCATTATACACACACACACACACACACACACACACACACACACACACACACACACACACACACACACACACACACACACACACTACTAAATATTACTACTAATAAATAGCATGCAAATAGTTTGTAAAGTATGTCAAACTTAAAATTGATACATTGGTTAATATTTGAGCAAACCCAATTCCAAAGAAGTTGGAACATTGTGTTAGGCATAAATGAAAACATATCATGCAAAATTTATGATTATTGACTAAAAACAAGAAAGTCTTATCATTTTGAACATTAAATATCTTGTCTTTGCAGTGTATTTAATTCAATAGAGGTTGAACAAATAATTGTTTTCTGTTTTTATTTATGTTGAACACAATGTCCCAACTTCTTTGGAATTGGGTTTGGAAATTCATTACTTTGCCATCAAAAACATATTTTCATTGTTGTTGTTGGTATTTGATACGAGAAAGGGACTGTTCAGATGTTTGAGGCATCACTAAAGCAAAAATTATTCTCGCGTCACTGTTGTGCATAAAATGTAGCTTTTCACAAAGTCACTGTTTTCTGCGTTTTGTTGTGGGGGTGGCACTGGATAGCTTTTCTTTCTTTTTAATAGCTGGCATTGAATGATATGATGACGACTGATATCAGCCTGATGCGATAGCTGGTGTTGGTACTCGTCCATCCCGACATGATTGAAGTTGTCTTTTTGTGTTTGCTTTGCAATAAATGTGGTCAAAGTCAAGGCGCTGATCCATCCTCTCGTCCCATGTTTACCACATATAATTCATCTCTGGCTACACTCTCCATCACGACGGCTATTTTTAGAAACGGGAGCAACTCCAGTGTTTCTCTCCTCCGTTTGTGATGTCTGAATATGTATGCGAGCGAACATGCAGTGTTGACCAGTGGCAATCGGACACACAATACCGCGCTGCTAAAATTATATTTTGGTCTGGAAGTTCCTTTCTTGCTGGTGTGTGTGTGTGTGTGTGTGTGTGTGTGTGTGTGTGTGTGTGTGTGTGTGTGTGTGTTTGTGTGTGTGTGAGTGTGTAAGAAATGTGCATTTGCAGACCTAATTACCTACAGTGCAGGCACCCACAAAGGAGAGTGTTGCGAAATAATTACCGCACGCAAAAGCCTAATGAACAGTTTGCGTTGATTTAGATCGGCGCATATGCATTTGTGCGCCTCCGTGTTTCTATTCTTCTGGCATCTTGCAACTACGTACGGTAATTCCAAACCCACCTCGCCATCAATACTAAGCCTCTTTATCTTTAAATATCGTCGTTACTATCACCTCAATGCATTTGCGACATCACTCTCCCTCTTTCTATCGCATCCACGGCGACCCGTGCCTTTTTTTTTTCGTCTAAGCGTGCAGCCATGGGAGCAGACTGCATGAGCAAATCCACATATCACAGGTGGGATGATCATCCGCATGTCTTGGTGCATGGCTGCATGCGGAGTCCAGGGGGCCACACACAAAAAATGTAGGTCAAACGGATGGAGATGGAGTAGCGGGGAAGGGGAAGAAGGAAGTCAATCGCACGATGTGAAGGATGCTGATGGCGATCGCCCTTACCTTCCACCACCCCGCAAAGAAAGTGTTGCTTCTCCTCCATCCTGCCTCCCTTCCCGCGTCCAAGGCAACCAGGGGAGTCGTCTTGGCGGCTAGCGCATGCTTGAACGCTTCATGCTGCTTCTTCTTCGTCGTCCTCCTTCATCCTCTCCTCGCCGCCGCCGACGCGCTCACCGCTGGATCTCGGTGATGCGTTCAGGTGCACGGCAAAAGCCACGTACTTTCTACCACTCACACTTGCCTCGCTCTTTGGCCGTGGCCACGCGAGCTTGTTTTTGCATTTGAACGCCTCTGTTGTTGAAATAATACCTGTCACAATAGAAATTGTCGAAGAAATAAATTCTCCCCTTGTTGAGGCAAACTCTCCGTTCCGGTAGGCGTGGCTTGACGGAAAGTAGCAAAGTGCAGGACTTTGAAACTGCCCCAAGTGTGTGCTTGTACCTTACTTACCCCACGCTGACATTTTCCGTTCGGACGTCAAGGTAGGACCAACACTAAACGTCATTTAAATTTGCCCTCTCTTCAAGGAAGTCAAAATACGCGCCTATGAAATCCAATAGTCAGGTGTAATGCAACATGTGTGAAAGTAAACGTTCACATTCGACGTCCATGCCAGCATGTTGGACTTTGAACACCTTTGAATGTGAGTTAATGATAAGGAAGTTGTGTTTTGTAGCAAAGTGAATGCATGTAGTTTGAGCTTCTATTAATTCGATTCCTTTGCTCTTTTGTAATCCAGCTTAATTAACCTCCAAGTACCTCCAAAAGGTCAACGTAGCTTGTTTATTTATTTATTTTTTTATATTTCAGATGTTCCTGTTTTAGGAAGGATTACCTCTGTACAGTTTCATCGTTAATCAACTTTTCATTTCACATCTTACTGCTGATTCACTCGTCTTTTTGGTACATTTGAAGCGATTTTTCATCCAAGTGATTTCATTTGTTGATGTATTTTGATATCAGTCAAGGTCATGGCCTCCCCCAGCACACTCTTGTCAGAGGCGCTGCTCCAATGTGGCATCTGTCAGGATGTGTTCTCCGAGCCTGTGTCCATTCCCTGCGGTCACAGCTTCTGCCACAGCTGCATCACATCCCGCTGGGATCGCGGCGCCTCCTCCAGCTGCCCCAAATGCGACACGCTCTTCACCACCCGGCCGGAGCTCTGCGAGAACTCTTTTGCCAGGGAAATGTCCGAGCGCGTCCGAGCCAGAAGGAAGCAGATGGACTCGGAGGTTCAGGAGATGATCCAGGACAGACGGCAGCAAGTGGAGGAGATCAAACATTGCGTGGAACTCAGCAAAGTGAGTTGGCCTAAGACACAATACAGTATGCCACTAGATAGCGCCAAAGCCCATCTCACCGGCAAGTAATAATTGGCTTCCTATGCTGAAGTGGCCCATTTTAACAGTTTAAAGTCCGTGTAAGGTGAAAATATGTCTTTAAAATACACACCAGAAGAGATTTGTGAACAGCCTTTGTTGCAGATCCTTGCTGAGGAGAAAGATAATGTCAAGATGTCTTGTAATGTCCAGACGATTAGACACCCTCTTATATATTACATCGTATTTTCCGCACTAAAAGGCGCACCTAAAGGCCTTCCATTTTCTTAAAAGCTCACAGTGCACCTTAAAATCTGATGCGCCTCGTGTATGGTCATTACGGTAATATTTCAACCCCAAAATGGCTCCTTGCTAGAGACATGCTTACAACGCAGAGTTCAAACTTAAGGCGATCGGGTTACGCAGTTGAACACGGAAATAGAGCAGCGGCAAGAGAGTTCAACGTTAACGAGTCAATGTTATAACTTGCTCTTGGTTAAGTGAACTGTGTCGCTCCTTAATTAAATACATTTTACTGACATCTGATCGTTCTGTTGGTATTTCCTTGAGCGTATCTCCATCTAGTGGATGCATTGTAGATTGCGTCCAATGTTTGAAAAAATAATAAAATACGCCATTCATTGAAGGTGCGCCTCATAATCCAGTGCGCCTTTTAGTGTGGAAAATACGGTATATATTAGTACGGCAACATGTTGTTTGAAGTTTTATATGGATGGTATAAGCAGTACAGAACATGAATGGATGTGATTTTTCCTATCACATGTGAGCATTAGCAGTAAGCACAACTCCTACTTTGAATGACGTTTCCAGGAAAAGGCCAAGTTGGAACTAGACCGCAGCGCACAGATATTCTCTGCTCTGTCGGAGGCCCTGGAGAGAAGTCGGTCCGAGCTGCTGGAGAGCATCCAGAGGCGGCAGGCCGCGACGGAGCACGCGGCCCAGAGGCTCACGGCACAGCTGGAGCTGGAGGTCAAGGAGCTGGAGAGGAGAAGAAGGGAGATGGAGCAGCTCCTGAACACCGACGACCGCCTCCTTCTTCTGCAGGTCGGCGGCGGCGAGCCCAGCTGGAAGTGGTTTACTTTTTGTCTCTTTTTTTTTTTTTTTCATTCGTCACAACTTGTGTGTGCCAGAGGTCTTCGGGCTTGTCTTCAGCATCCTGTTGTGACAACGTCATCCACTCAGACCCATGTGTGGGGATTGTGAGGAGAGCTTTGGACCATGTTGATCAACAACTCTGCTCTTTTTTAAAAACGCTTTCCATTGAAGGTCAGGCAAATTGCACAGATTTTTTTTTTTTTTTACAAAGCAATTTCTACACTCACGACGGTTTGCTGGCTCTCAACTATTTTTCTTAACTTGCAGAGCATGACGTGATGTTGCAGTATGCAGGTCAGCAGACGCTACGACAAAAAACATTCTCACATCCCAGGAATGATCACATCAGTTCTTGTGCTCCTTTGTAGCTGACGTTTATCTGGACCCCAGGACAGCCAACCCATGGCTCTTTCTGTCTGAGGACGGGAGACGGGTGCAGGATGGAGACATCGAGCGGGACCTGCCGGACTTGCCCGAGCGCTTTGACACCGTTCCCTGTGTGCTGGCCACCAAGGTAACTCTTGAGATGGAACGGAAGGAGCGGGTAGAAAGGAGCTGCGGGAGACAGGCTGTCTTGTTATGCAGGGTTTCACCACCGGGAGGCACTACTGGGAGGTGGAGGTTGGGGACAAGACGTCGTGGGACCTGGGAGTGGCTGAGGCGTCGGTCAACAGGAAGGGCTTGGTGACGCTATGCCCGCAAAACGGATACTGGGCTGTGTGTCTGAGACGCGCCGCTGAGTACCGGGCCTGTGCGGCACAAGCGCAGCTTTTGTATCTCCCCCAGAGGCCGAAGGTCATCGGGCTGTTTTTGGATGTGGCGGACGGGACGGTGTCCTTCTATGACGCCGAGGCCAAGTCGCACATCTATTCCTTTACGCACGTTCACTTCACAGAAGCCGTGTTTCCGCTTTTCAACCCGGACGTGAGTGACAACGGAAGAAACGGCTCGCCGCTCATCATCCGGCCTGCGGATGGAAGCACGAGTTTTGACACCGTCACGATATAACGGACAGGGGGCAAAAACTGAACTCTATTGGTCGTTGAAATAAACGTGTGAATTTGACACACCACAGCGAAGAGTGTTCTTCACAACCGTGGGAAATATTAGCAAGTGCATAAAAGAAAGCTTCAAAAAGGTGAAAAATCAGGGCGCTTGCTCTGCTGTTGAACGCTAAATACGCTGAAACGACGACCCACTGACCTGAAAAAAATGAACATTGCCTCATCTAGCATCTTTTTTTATGCCTTCACAATACTACACGTTTGATTCCCGAAAATATATCCACTTTAAAACCTCCAATGGCTGGAATACGTCCGAGCCGGTCGTCACAAGCGTTTGCCACGCCGAGACAACGTGGCGCTCTACAGCGGCCACACCAACGCCGAGCCACGGTGCACACGCTCCGCTTAACAGCTAGATTTTTTTCATTTTCAGTCTCAAATATTTCGTATTATTCTATCGATTGATCAAATCATCGGAGAAAATGTTATTTTGCATTAAAGAAGAATACAAAACATTTTTTCCTCTTTCCATGACTCACCAAACCTTTTGGAACTGATTCGGTTACTCGTTTGGCCGTTGTTTTCCAAAGTAAAAGCAGATGTTTGCTTATTTTAATTAAACACAAAAATAATCAACTTTCTATGGCAATTAATGACATGCTGTGTCAATATGTAACGCGGCCATTTTCATTGCTGTATTCCAATCAAATCCGTTCTGCTCAACCTGCACCAAGAAGACTCACCCTGAACACAGATCCCAGAGCAGCACGCCACTCCAAAAATTCCCGGCTCGCGCCCGCTAAACTAGCCTGGGCGAGCGCACGCAACGTAATCTGATTAGTGCACAGGCAGGATTACCCACAGAAGCAGATGGAGCTGTGAGGTGGTCGTCAAGGTTTATTTTGAGCCAATGAGAGCAAGATGAAGGCGGATTAAATCGCACATTGTCCAAGCCTAATGTGCAGACGTTTCGGAATTTTTGACCAAGCAAGGTAAATTCCAACATATCCATGTAGCAGTTGTATTTATTTATTTATTTTTTTGTAAGATGAGAACAACAAAGTACCACATGTAATCGGATGACATCATTTAAAATACTCAGTAATGAGTTTTTTTCGATGCTTCACCGTCATTGTTATTTAAAACCCCATCCAGGTGGTTTATACTGGCTGCTTGTGGATCGTTGGTGTGATGTCCCCCATGGCGGACGAAACGGCGGGGGACCTCCCGGTAAGAGACGTGGGTCTGATGAGGGGGGGACTCATGCCAGCTGCTGTCCCAGGTTTGTTCCGACTCGTCCAGCTGAGAGGTTTTAAATACCAAAACTGCATTGATGACCATGCCCTGTCTGAGCAGAGGCCATAAGTGACGTGAAGCCGTGGAAGAAGCATCACATCATGATTACGAAAGGTGATGGAGACCACCGTACGGTCTTTATCTCCAAGCTCTTCTTGAGCCATTTTCTTCCTCGTCCTTCCAGATCCTCAGCGGGTTTTTCGCCTGCCCAGGGAGCAACTGGAGAATCTTTGCCTCAACGTGCAAGAAGAAAATGTGGTGCTGAGAAATCACACACGAGCGCAGGAGCAGAAGATGCGCAGGTGGGCGCGACAATCAAGCGCAAAGCAGCACATAAAAAAGTCTTGAAAACGTCTCAAACTGACCGTGTGGTTGATTTTCAACCCCAAAGGATGTCCACGAGGCTGATGCGTCTCCGTCAGGTGGGGACGTGTCCCGGCAGCGCCAAGGAGAAGGACATGGAGGACGACCTGCAGGAGTTGGAAAATCGCGTGGCCGCGCTGGAGAGCCAGAAAGTCGTTTTACGCAACAAACTCAGCCTGGCCAAGCAGCACATTCTGGACCTGGGGGGTCGCACGCCATACAGGTTCAGCAAAGGTGTGCTGATGTTCTTCCGGGACCGTCTCCCACTTGTTCAAATTAAAATTCCACTTTGAGCTTTCTGTCTCTTTCTCCTCCCGGAAAGGTACAAAAAGTACAGAAGTGGATGGGGTAGCCAGCAGAGCGGCCCACACAGCCCCGCCCCGCTACTGTCCCCCGATGGAGGACACCAGAGGAGACGCGGACAAATTGTGAGTGACAAATAGAATAACCGAGTTCATTTGAAGCCCTCCGTTTCTGCCCCCCCCCTCTCTCCTACTCCCAGCAGTGCGGGTGAGCAGATGAGGGTGATGGAGCTGGAGCTGACCGCCCGGACCCTGCGGGAGACGCTCAGAGAGAAAGAGAAAGAGATGGAGGGAACCGAGAGAGAGATGAAGAGGCAACAGTCGGAAAGGCACAGGTGAGAACAGCAGTGAAGGTCACAGTAAGATTTCGCAAAGGCTGAATTGAGATTTGGAAGCTTCACATGTAAAAATGTCGAAACCGAAAAAACCTTTTGATTAAAAGTCAAATGTCTTTCACGAAACAGACGTGTGGATGCATCCGTTATGTGTTAACGATACGGAATGACATTAAATGATGCAGGACGGGAATGAATGCTGATTATTTGAGGGGATGTGGACATTTTTGGCATGCTGAAAATCACGATCAAGGCGAATTCAATGGGCCGAATGTTTAGAATTTTAAATGGGAACAAAGATGTGAATCTGTCTTGTCCGAATGTGGCCTTGGGAATTCCGGAGGGAATTTTAGTGGGGAAAATGGTGAATTTTTGGTCAGTGGGAATTTTTGGCAAGTTGAAAATGGTTCTCAAGGTGAAGTGAATGAGCTGAGTCTTTTGAATTTTAAATGATGTGAATCTCTTATGTTGAATGTCCCGTTGGGATCGAATGATCCATTTTTGGCTGAAAATGTTGCATTTTGGGAAAAACGGTGAATTTTTGGAATGAGAAAAATAAGAGCCTGCAAGGTGTGAATGTTATTTTTGGAATACTGTTATGTTGAAATTGGAGGAATTTTGTCGAAATAAATACATGTCCAAATCTTGGGCAGAAGAAAAATAGGAACAATGTATATGATTCCAAATTCGTGGATCGCTATGACGTGGATGGCTGATTGTCTACATAACGGTACTACTGGAATGTAATGAAATCGAATTTATTGTCAGTGCAGTTGTGACGCGTGCACAGCAGCAAAATTCATTTAACAGTGACAACCCATCCAAGAGACAAGAGAAAAACAATGACCGACAGAGGGAGACAGAACGGGAGGGAACCCTGACAGGATACCAGACACCACTCAGATTTTCTTCGATGAAAAATAAATGGATAAGGAAGGACGGGGTGAGAGAACAAGTCCTAAACTATGTTCCTATAAAGGAAGGACACATGGGCGTTGGGTATCAGGCGGTGGACATTCCAGTCCAGACAAAGTGAACGGGCCATCGCGGCATGGACTGTGCGCTAGCTGCTAGCCGGCAGGAGGCATTGAAAATAATGGGCATTGCCTTGCCTAAAAAAAAAAAAAAAAAAAATTCTCCTTCTCTGGTCAGGATAAACATCAGAGAGAACGTGGACGTCATCGGTCTCCAAAAACAGCTTTCCGAGAAGAGCGTCGCCCTGAGGGTCACGCAGGAGAAGATGGCCGATCTTCAACAGGTGCCACGCGACAGGCCACGACTTTTGGTACAATAGCAATACGTTACGTCCTCATGTTTTTTTCTTTCCAGGCCTATGAGAACCAACTGGAGGAGGTAAATGCACGCGCGGAAGTACGTCTGGCTGACCGCTCGTATTCATGAGTTGAGACTTTTCCTTTCCTTTGCAGAGTCAGAGGTCCCAGCGTGAAAGTCAGACTCTTCTTTTGGAGAAAGTGGAAGAACTGAGCGAGCGGCTCAAGCAGGAGCGGCACAGAGCGCTGACGCTGGAGGCCGAGCTGACGACTGCCGGCGTGTCTCTGCAGAACCTGGACAAGGTCTGGAGCCAAGAAGAACCGCGGCGGGATTTTCGTTGGTGGAGCCGCTGGACAAGGCGATTGTTTCTCTTCCAGCTCCAAGAGCGCATCGCCGACCTGGAAGGAGAGAAGGATCGGATCAAAGAAAACTACGACTCCCTGCTTGAGAGGTAAGACTCCAAAATTCATTCGACGCACTGAAAACCCTTCGATCACATTTGTGTTTCTTTCCCTTCCCTGAGTACTTTATCGACTTATAATGGACGTGTCGGCCACGCGGACAAACGTATCGAGGTCGACGTGCAGAGGGAGGAGCCGGAGGACGCGACGTGCAGGATAGACAACCAGATCTTGACGGCAGCGCTGCAAACCGAGAGGGAGGAGAGAGACCGACTGCGATCAGAGGCGGAGAAGCTCAGACAAGAGAAGGAGACACTGGAGAGGCAACATCACGGTACGCTGACCTCTTCGGAAGATTTCGCCACCCTTGAGTTGAGTTAACTCCAGTATGAATTCACGTTTGGGAACCCGCCTCTTACGCAATCGCATCTTTGTTCAGCCAAAGTGAAAGATTTGGATGAGGAGATTCTTCAGTACAAAGGAGAGATATCCTCCCTGCAGAACAGACTGGACTCGGTCACCAAGGTTGATAAACATCGAAAGGACACATCGCACACTTCCCCTTTTGACCTCGCTTTGAAACGGTTCATTCTCCATCTCAAGGAGTTCGACATGAGCGACGAAGAGCTCAGCCAAACGCTTTTGCAGATCAAGGTGAGCAAGCAAAGAACGTCCCCCCCCGGCTTCCCCGGCCCCCCCAATTATCTTCCCGCATTGGGGCAGGCCTTCCGGATGCAGCAGGAGAGCAGGGAGGGTTTACGTTTCCTCGGGCCCGACGGCGGCACGGAAGACCCCGAGCGCACCGACATGCAGGCATTACACGCCGAGACCGTGCTGGAGCTGCAGAAAACCAGGAGCCTCCTTTTGCTGGAGCACCGCATCAGTAAAGACCTTCAGGTGCCTTCGCGTTCCTCAATATCGGTGAGTCGCAACACTTGGCCCCGCCTTCTTTTTCACCAAAAAATGTTTCGATCTGAAGATGGAGCTGGACACGATCAAGGAAAGGCTGGAGACAGAGAGGGCGCAGGTGAGGATGGCAATGGCGGAGAAAGACCAAGTTTTATCCAAAAGAGCTTTTCAGATCAACACTTTACAAGGTAAGGAAACACCCAACGTGTCCTCATCAAACCTTGACTTCGTGGAAAGGAAAATTCACTTCAACTGCTTCTGTTCTGAAGCCCGGTTGAAAGATTTTGCATACAGTACCAAGAACCGCAAAGGGACCGTGCCCATACAGTACACGTGGCCAGCAAGTGAGCAGGAAGTAGGCCAAGGCGTTGAGGATGACGTTTCATGCGCTCCCCCGAGGCTCGGAGAGTCCCTCTTGGAACTCCACATCAAGGTAAGAAATTTGGAATGACCTCCCACTGAACGTTCGGCATCTTTAAAACTCGTCTCAAAACTGATTTGTATTCTTTGGCTTTTGACTCAGCGTGAGGCTTGATTTTTAGTTTGACTGTTTTTGTGCTTTCTACTGTCTTTGTTATTCGTTTATTGTTTATTGTTGGAAATAGGCGGCCCGGTGGTCGAGTGGTTAGCGCGTCGACCTCACAGTGCAGAGGTCGTGGGTTCAATTCCAGTTTCGGCCTCCCTGTGTGGAGTTTGCATGTTCTCCCCGGGCCCGCGTGGGTTTTCTCTCCGGGTACTCCGGTTTCCTCCCACATTCCAAAAACATGCATGGCAGGTTCATGGAAAACTCTAAATTGTCCCTCGTGTGAGTGTGAGCGTGGATAGTTGTTCGTCTTGTGTGTGCCCTGCGATTGGCTGACAACCGGTTCAGGGTGTCCCCCGCCTACTGCCCGAAGACGGCTGGGATAGGCTCCAGCACCCATCGCGACCCTTGTGAGAATAATGATGGATGGATGTTGGAAATATGATATTTGCTCCATGTACAGCACTTTGTATACAGCAGTGGTTGTTTTAAAGTGCTCGAGAAATACACTTGAGTTGAATAAATACTTGAAGTGTTGTCTTCATGGCGAGATGTCGTCACCTAATATGCCGTCTTTCTCCTTGAGGCTGCCACCTTTACCCCAGGCGGCCTTCGGACGATGGGCAACCTTCACGCAGACCGAGCTGAAGACACCGTGACCTTCTGCACCTACAGCCTTTTGGACTTTGAAGTTCACTCCACGCCTCTGGTGGCGGGAAGCCAGCCCAACTATGGCTTCACTTCGCATTACGCTTTGACGGCCCGTGATCTGGGCAGGCTGCGGGTGCAGGGCGCGAGGGTCCGAGTGGAGCTCCACCAGGCAATAGGCGGTGTCCGCTTTGTGACGCACGGAAGTGGCCACTTGTCCCTCATGGGGGCTATGGAGAGGAGAGGGGAGCGCGCCAATGGCCGGGTCAACATCACAGGTTGGTGATTTTAGGTCACGAAAGAACGAAAACGAAACAAAGACAAATTGAAATTAAAAAAAAAACCAAAAAACCCCAACGCTTTTGTTAATAAAACAAAATAAAAAGGAAAATATGTTTGAACTGAAACTACATCTTATGTGTACAAAATGTTTCAAACACTTAATCCCAAATTGGAAAATTTCTATGGGAATTTTCCGCAAATTGAAGGGAAATATGTCACTTTCACACAATGAATTTCGCAGCCCTGCATTGTTGTCTCACCTTAAGGCTCTGAGGGGGAAGTCGTCGGTGTGGTGGATTTCTGGGCGCGCTTGTTCCCTCCAGCAGAGCCCCTGGAGGGCATGGCGGCAGGAGACGGTGATGGGATCACAGCAACACAGATGATACCTGCTCACGTCACTCTGGGCTGGCGAGAAGGCGGCCATGCAGTAAAAATGCTCATTTACCTTAATTATTATTATTTTTTAAATCCCCATCACCGACTCGTCACTTTCTGCCCACAGCAGGAGTTGTACGACTACGGCGGCGGGATCCCCAATGCGTTGCTGCTGCTGCTTGACCAATGCGAGGGCCTCAGCGGGCGATGGCCCGGGCTACTTCCTGATGCATACCTGACCTACAGGCTCTACGACCTGCAGCCACATGTGTCAAAAACCATCCCGGGCACCGCCGACCCCGTATTCCACGACGCTGCCAGCTACCCGCTTGCCGTCACAGCAGATGTGTTGCGCTACCTGCGGTATGCTGTGAGACCGATATTTCAGACTTGGGCGTTGTGGCAAAGTGTGAAAACATACGCTCATTCGTTTGCGCAGGTCGAGCAGTCTTTGGGTGTATGTGTTTGATGAGAGCGATGATCAGATCCCGCCAGCCTACTTGGCTAAAACGCCCGTCCCGCTGAGAGCGCTTGCTACGGGCAAGGAGATCACAGGTGTGTTCACGTGGAAAGGAGGAAAAAAAAGAAAGAAACCAAAATTCAGGAAATTCATTTAGAAATCCAAAGGTGTTGTGCTCTTTTCATTATTCAGTAGTGCCTAGCGATACAAGTGAGTTTTTAGATACAAGATGACAATAAGCAGCGATGTTACCCTTTAAGCAGCGGATATCTGAACCCAAATGGTCCAGCAACACATGCTGAGACTATATAACACTACCAACAGGCATATATTCTTTCTCATCTGTAAAATAGGACTCATATTATTGCCGTATTGAGAACACAAGAGAGGAGCTGAGCCTCCGTTACAGTCTCTGTAATGCTGTTTTCCCCATTTTTTGGATTTTTTTAAAAAAAAAATCCATTTCACCATCCATCCATCCATCCATCCATTCATCCATCTATCCATCCATCCATTTTCTAATCCGCTTTTCCTCACAAGGGTCGCAACCATGCTGGAGCGTATTGAGAACACAAGAGAGGAGCTGAGCCTCCGTTACAGTCTCTTTAATGCTGTTTTCCCCATTTTTTGGATTATTTTTTAAAAATCCATCTCTCTATCCATCCATCCATCCATCCATCCATTCATTTTCTAATCCTCTTTTCCTCACAAGGGTCGCAACCATGTTCCATTAACCTGCCATACATGTTTTTGGAATGTATGGCACCAAAATTAATTTTATTCCTTGTGTATAGTTTGGCAAAACATATTGTTGTCGGAAACGGTTGCCAGCCAATTGCAGGGCATACATAGACAAACAACCATTAACGCTCAAAATCACAACTAGGGACTACTAGGAGTGTTCCGTTAACCTGCCATGCATGTTTTTGGAATGTGGGAGGAAACCAGAGTATGTTAAGGGACCAAAATTAAGCTGTTTTATTCCTTGTACAGTATACATTTTGGCAAAACAGCCGATATATTGGTTGTCGCAATTTTTTTTTCTGCCAAACATTGGAATCGGCATCGGCCTGAAAAAAAAAAATCAAAATTGGTTGGGCCCTACAATAAAGTCCACTTCATCTCCAGGCGATTACGTGCTGCGCGATCCTGCCGGGGGTCCTCGGGGAACAGTCAGAGTACTGATTAAATGGAAATACCCCTTTCAACCGCCGCCGGATGCCATAGGAAGCAGTGAGCGGAGACGAGAAGAAGCACAAGGGTCACAGAGGCCCATAGCCACGCCCAGGGTCAAGGTATTGTTCGCACTTTTTCTGCCGGCTTCACCAAATGGCTGTGACTATTCTACATTTTCACTCATTTTCCTCCAGACGCAGACATTTGTGCCAGGACAACCGAAAACAAGACAGAGGAAGACAAAAGCTTGTGTGAGGTTTCAGAAGCACGACATCAGGGTACGCTGAGCCGGCTCATGCTCATGTTTCCGACTGCTCTGTGTTGACAGCCTGCGCCCGACTCCATAAAACCGGTCGGCACCAAGAAAACCCACGAGGGGTCACCCGGCCTACCCGACAAGGGACCCTCTATTGCGCTTACCGCGTCTTCTGATTCGCCAATGACAAAGTAAGTTACACCTGCAGGAATTAAAGTACGGTTATCCCTCGTTTTTCGTGGTTCATGGGGACCATTAACTCTCATTGGTCGATGTCGTGCTGGGAACCAATCACGTGCCTTTTTTGAGTCGGCATGTACATTACAGGACAGGTATGTACAAAGCCTTTGAGTCACGTCAGCTCTTTGTTCGGTATGAGGTGAAACCTCCTCCCCTTTGCGCATCAACATGAAACAATGCGTCTTTCCCCAGTATGGCTGCTGTATTAATTTTAATTAAAAATATAAATACATATAATAATAACAAACAAAAAAAAAACGTGAACACTGAATATAACACAACTCCCTTCATTGAACTTTTAAGATCTCCAGAAACCTCATCCGGAGAGTCGCCGTTGAGAAAAAGCTCTGCGAGTGAGGGGGGCACTCTGGTAGGAACTCACAGGAATTTGATCAAATACAGTATGACCATGGCGCTGACCTGAAAAAAATTGTTCGCACTGTGACCTGATTTTCAGAATATTCCCTCTGTGGATGTGGTGTCAGTGGATGAGGTGGAGGAACTGGACGAGGAGATTGGTAGGAACACTCTGAGTTTGTGTGTTGCTTTCGAAGCAGGCTAGTGGACAGTGTTCTTCTTTTTTTTCCCCAAAACTGTGGAGCAGCTGAAGATCCGTCAGAGTCTTCGCATACCTCAACGAGTGACCTCTTCATCGTGCCATCCAAACCAAAGAAAAGACAGGTAAAATAAATGCCTTTATTTTTAAAAAGCATCTCATGGTAAAATCGGTTTTCCTCCTTTCAGGGAAACAAACTGAGAGTGGAGATCCTGTCCTTGACCTTTGAACCCTCCTCTCACGTGGCGCTGGACAATTCGGTGCAGCGCGTCTTCGTGGAATATCGTTTGCTTGGCGTCCCCATGGAGACCACCGAGACGCCCCTGTCCCTCCGCAAGCCCACGGCGGGGGAGGAGATTCACTACAACTTCACACGAGGTGATAGAAGAGGAAAATAAAGACAGTGTGTGGCTCAAGTTTGCTTTGGGCTGATGGACAAATTCCTCTCTTGCTCCGCAAGTCATCTATGTGGATGGGTCATCGTCGGCCCCACTCAGACGGTATCTGTACACCATGTTGGAGGGCAGTGACCCCAATAGGCGCCGGTATCATATCTCAAATTCAAATTCAATTCAGTTTTCCTGAGGTATTCCGTCTCACAAATGTCGGAGTTTGTTTTTACGCAGGTTGAAGTTCACAATCGTCAGTGAGCCGATGGACGACGACGAGGAATGTGCGGATGTCGGCTACGCTTTTCTAGATCTGCAGGAGCTGCTGCTGACAGGAAATGATGTCATTGAACGGCAAATTGACAGTAGGCCTTTCTTCGGCAATTTAACCCGCTGCGATGAGGAAGCAGATTGCGTCACTCTTTCACATTTGCGTGTTTTCTCCAGTCGTGCGTGTGGATGAAGAGCAGGAGGTGATTGGATTCTTGAAAGTGTCAGTGGAGGCAGCAAAAGCACTGAGCGGTATATACAAGGAGTTTCAGCAGCCAGAGGAGGAGGGCAGCGAGCAGGAAGAAGAGGAGGAGGAAGAGGAGCAGAAGGAGGAAAATGACATTAAAGTCATTGAAGACGATGACAGTGATTTCTGAGGGGGGGGAAAAGTGTCTGATTGCAAATTTTATAAATCCTGTGTGCAATTTTGATTCATGTTAGTGTACTACATATTTGACTGAATAACACTGAACTATGGAAGCCTTTATATTGGTCATTTCTCTGTGAATGTTGAGGTTATATAATAAATAATTCGAGTTCAAAGCTCAAGGGGATAATCAAACTATGATTGATTTCAATTACTCTCTTCTTGCTAGTAATTTTGTGGCTGTGGTTCTGAGTATAAAAACAACTTTTTGGGAGATTTCCAACGACCCATGAACGCCTCACATGGCAGCCCAATTCCCAATCACAGTAGCACCTGCTGTATTTTTTTTTTTACCTGTTTCAAATCAAACAAATAAAAACTTTCATCGGCAGGATTTGTTGCACGATCGTGTGTTTTTCACTGAAGCCTTCGTCAATTTGAGCGCGATACCACATTGGTGTCGAATTACATAAAACAGGACAGAAGGAACTACGAAGGTAAAGTTAGCTGTTTTTCCTCACCCGTTTCCACAACGGTACATTATCAAGTTAGCAAGTTTGCTAATATCAATCACATACAATGACGGTCCAATTAGTATTTTTTTTTCTCCTTGAATCTTAAAATTAGGATACGCCTCCCACTCAAAAAGAATCCTGTTTCTTTCTTTCGTTCTTTTTTTTTTTTTTTTTTTTAAACAATAAAGAAGGAATAAATGAAGTTTGTCAGCCACCAGCTTGTCAGCCAGCTTTTCCACAACAAGTTCATTGTGGTGTTGGGAGACTCGAGTAAGTATCTCACTTCTGTTCATATTTTTCCTCACGTAAGATAAGATAAGAAAACCTTTTATTAGTCTCGAAATGGATAAATTCCCAATTCACAACAGCAAAGTTATGAAAGGAAGAAGTAGAAGAACAAAATATAGAACAACAAAACATGTAAAATGGGTTGCAAACCTGAGCGTAAAAAGCCCCAAGATTGAGAGGCCCGATTTTAATTTAGAACCAGAAATAAATCTTGAATAACATGGACCTATGTTTCCCTGATTAATGCGTATCTCTCTGTATCACCAGTTCAGCGGTCCATCTACAAAGACCTTGTCGTGCTTTTACAGAAGGATGAATACCTCCACACGGCCCAACTTAAAAGAAAGGCAAGTGATCGCGAGAAATTCCTGTTCTTCATGTGTATAACTTTTGCTGTTTTCAGTTGATCTCACTTTCTGTCTCTCTGCAGGGTGAGATGAGCTTCGAGCAGGACTGCCTGGTGGAAGGAGGTTGCCTGAGCCAGATGCACAATGGAACGGGATACCGTGAGGTCCGGCAGTACCAGTCCCCCCACCACCTGGTCCGCTTCTACTTTGTGACGCGCATCTACTCGGACTACATGAAGAGCATCATGGAGGACTTCCGCCACGGACTTAAACCAGATTTGGTCATCGTCAACTCCTGTGTTTGGGACATTTCAAGGTAAGCTATGGAGCTTATCGTTAAGGCAGTTGAGCATCCAAATCTTATTTGTGCGGTTTGCTTTTAAGCATCCCAATTATGCTGCTACTTGGCTTTAACGGAACCTCCTTGTAGGTACCATTCACAATGGGTGGACAGGTACAAGGACAACCTCAATATGTTCTTTGAAGAACTGCTTGGGATCCTGCCAGAAGAAAGCTTGGTCATATGGAACCTCACCATGCCCCTGGGAGAGTGCATAAAAGGGGGGTTCTTGGTTCCTGAGGTACAGTATCATACATTGTATATTCAGAGCAGTGAAACGATAAACCTGCTGCCCACAACATATCAAATCACCGTTTAGTTTCAAATTGAACGAGGGGAGTCAACATTGTTGCCCTGCTCCGAAGCAGATCTCGTACAAGGCGTCCCATCTACGTCATGACGTGATCGAAGCCAACTTCTACAGCGGAGTGCTGGCCGAAGCCTTCAAGGTGGACGTGCTGGACCTCCACTTTCACTTCCGCTTTTCCCTGCAGCACCGCACAAAAGACGGCATCCACTGGAACGCCCTGGCTCACCGCCAAATAAGCACGCTGCTGTCGCTGCACGCCGCAGACGCCTGGGGCGTGGAGTTGCCGCGTCGTTCTTTGGGTGATGACGAACGCACATTGAAAAGGTGGCGGGTTGTATTCAATGCTGACTCACTCCACTTTTTTCTTTTAGTCGATTTTTCGGTCGCCCGTCCACCGCAGGACTCGGAAAGTACCGGTAATCAACGTGATGGTATGATACTGGTTGAACTGAAATCATCTGTGGTCTTTCCAAAATGCATCTTTGCTCATTCTATTCCACAGTGAGGCCTCAAAGAATCACCTGGTCGCCTCGTCCTCGCCACCGTGGCTTGACAGACTTTGAAGCTCACCCGCCGCCATGCAGGGACGAGCATGCTGCTGACCACAGACCTTACGGTCATCGTGGCTCTCTACCAATCGGTGGGCAATGCCGGTTCATAACATTCTGGTGCCGCCTTTTTGACGTGTCCACTCAGCAGCCCGTTGTTCTACGTGTTGCAGATTACAACGGCCCATACGTGATGAGGACGAGGCGCACCAGACACCACTACATGCCGTATACTCATCGCAGGTCCAACTACCATTACTAGACTTCATTCTCATCTGCGTTGAAATGCTTCTGCGCATCCTCAAGAAAGCGTGCTTCTCTGCGAGGAGAAGATGTTCATGTTGGGGTCAGTTCTCACACAATCTCCACATGCATTGAATTCTTAGTGTAAGTTTTATATATTCGGTGTTGTTGATTTTTTTTTTTTTTTTAACGTGCGTTTCATATTAAAGATGCCGTTCCAATGTGAACTTTTTTTCTTTTGTTTTATACACAAGTCTGTGAGGGTTGTGCAGTGTCACCATGCAGGTGGATTTAACTCATGTAAAAGAACAAACTACAAAAAAAAAAACCCAAACTGTATGTATGTATAAATATATATTGAGACTCACAAAATTATTAACGCTGTTTCGTCCCCCTCGGTGGTGCCTGCTGGGCGGCCGTGAGTTGGCAAGGCGGAAAAAAAAAATCCTCCAGAAGGACCGACTAGTCGCCCTGCCACGGACGCCTCGGGATGCACTGTCGCTGGCTACAAGTTTGCAGACGGCCTGCTAAATTCTCGTGAAGCCAATACATTGAAGACAGCTTATTTAAATATGGAATATTAATGCGAAGACAGACCATTCAGGATCAAGAAGGAAAAGGGCATCCTGCTCATTTGCAACCCAGATTTTCTTGCATCCCAGATAAAAAGATAGACGACAATTAAAAAAAAAAGGAACTACTCCAGAGAGAATGAACTATAGCATTTTGAATGTTAATTCCACTGATAAGTTAAAGTTCATAGTTGATTTTAAAGCAGGAGTCTTGTCTTTAAAGATGAATTTTAGCCTTGGGTGTGGCACCGTTGCTTTCTTGCAGGTCGCATTCCAGTCAATGCACTTACGTATATAAAACAAATACTACCGAGTGAATTGAAAATGATACATAATACAAACAGTAACGTAATGAATGGTATGTCGAGAATGTTTCCAATCATTTTTATTTCAGGCACAGCAGAAGCAGATGGTTCAAAAAACAAAACTCAAGTTGTTCATTGTACAAGTGGTTGCTTTTTATTAGTGAAATTGTACATCAAACATGGGGAGTGTATTTGGTACATGTAGAGTACAAAACGACCCAATATCCCCTGTAAAGTGAAAGTGTGAAAAAATGTTGACATGTGTCACCATTTGGAGCTTTTCCAAATGATCACGTCTTCATCAATGTCGTTAGTGCTAATCGTGTCTTAACCATACAAAAATGGAAAGTAGAAACCGGAAGGAATTGCAGGCGGCAGCAAGTTGCCTCAGCCCATGAGGAGGCGGTGCACTTGGTGCAGTTGCTGCTGCGACAGGACCAGACGGTGGACTTGCTCTTGTCCACGAGTGCAAGGAATGGCAACGCGGCCCACAAACACCGTCCCGCCCTTCTTCTCCTCCTTTGCCTAAGGTTAGAGAAAATTATGATTTATTCGTGTGTGTGTGTGTGTGTGTAGTTTTTATTTTTCACCTTGACGAAAGAAGAAACTGGGAAGGTTGCGAAGTCGGAGGCAGCTTTTGCTCCATGCTGATTGGACACAATGTGTTCAGCTACTTCACCCTGGAAAAAAAGAAAGAATATTCAGACGCACATTCAATTGTTGCGTGACCAAACGTTTTTTTTTTTCTTTCCATTTTTTTACCTTGAGTTTGGCTAGAGCGTTGCTGAGGTTGTGCAGTCGGGTGGTCTGCTCCAGCAGCTGCGCGCTGGCGCTGACTGGAGAAAAACGAAAGGAGAAAATGTCAGAGGTGGGTATATGAAGACTGGGGGGGGGGGGAAAAAAAAAAAAAAAAACAAAACAAAAGAATCAGATGTGCCGCCGTACCGGACGTCTTCCCGGTGATGTCCACCACTTTGACTTCTGCACTCAGCTTGAGAAGAGTCGCCAGCAGCTGGTCTGTGCGGCGGTAGATGCCCATATTCAATCCTTCTGGTGGCATGGAGCTCTCTTTGGACACCTGGGGCAGTTTGGCTGGGCACAGTGGAGGCAGGGAGGCCAGCTGGGCGCTCATCTTCTCTGCCTGAATGGAAAACACACTCGTGGTCAAGGCAATGGAAGATGCTTTCATAAAAAAAAAAAAAAAAAAACTCTTCTAGGTTCTCCCAGGACACCTTAAGTCTGATGTTTTCGTTCTTGAGGCGTTTAAGGCCCAGCCTCTGAGCTTCAAGCTGCTGCTGTAGCAGAGGAGAGTCCACCACTTGCACCGGGCCCGCCAGTGATTGGGACATACCCACTGGGGGAGGATAGGGCCACAATGATTCAGAGTTGAAAAAGATCCAGCCTTCATCTCTGCTATTTTCAAAAAGCTACCTCCTGCGGGAACGACGGAAGCCATCCCAGAAGCAGGCACACCTCGCAAGCCCTCGATGGTCATCTTCGATTGGTTATTGATGCGCTGTTTCAGCTCGGCTTTCTCCGCTTCCAG